CTGGATTAAAAACATTCTTTCTTCAGATACATCCAGTGTGCTCTTAAATGGGATCCTGGGAAAAACAATTCACTACAAAAGAGGTGTCAAGCAAGGTGACCCTCTTTCACCTCTTCTTTTTGTCCTTGCAGCAGATTTTCTTCAATCCATCCTAAACAAGGCCAGGCAGAGAGGTCAACTTAATCTCTCAATCCCTCTAAATAACTCTTTGGATTTTCCTGTAATCTAATATGCTGATGACACCCTCTTTGTTCTTGAAGGAGACACAAGACAGATGTTCTTCCTGAAATCTATTCTTCACTCCTTTTCTGTCTCAACTGGGCTAAAAATTAACTACAATAAGTCGATGATGGTTCCAATCAACATTAGCCCTGAAAAGTTCAATCACCTTGCTAGCACCTTTGGTTGCTCCTTGGGAATTACAAAACCAAGGGTTGATGACTTCCTTCCTCTTGTTCCTAAATGTGAAAGAAGATTGGCTTGCACCTCAACCTTTCTCTCTCAAGCTAGCAAGCTTGAGCTTACAAATGCTGTTCTTACTACTCTCCCAACCTTTCACATGTGTGTGCTGTCACTACCAAAAGGTGTAATCAAACAAATTGATAAATTCAGAAAGCACTGTTTGTGGAGGGGCTGATATCAACTCTAAAAAAACAACCAAAAGCTGCTTGGGAAATGGTGTGTATTCCTAAAGACGATGGTGGATTAGGAGTCATTGACCTAGAAAAGCAAAATGAGACCTTGCTAAAGAAAAATCTTGACAAATTCTTTAATAGAAAGGACACACCATGGGTTTCATTGATCTGGGAAAAATATTACAAGAATGGAAAATTGCCTAACTCAACTAAGAAAGGGTCATTCTGGTGGAGAGATATTTTAAAACTATTGCCAACCTTCAAATCATTTTCCACCATTCACATTCAAGATGGTAACACATGCCTCTTTTGGACTGATAAATGGTTACCGCAGACTATGGAGCTTGATTACCCTGAACTTCACTCATTTGCAAAAAAACAAAGCAATATCAGTCAGCAAAGTATATGCTCAACATCACCTTCCTGATTTGTTCAGTCTGCCTTTGTCAGCAGAAGCATACACACAACTATCAGCCGTCCAATCTTTCTTGCAACACTTCCCCTTAACAACAGATCATGACAAATGGGACTCAAATTGGGGAGAATTTTCAGCCTCCAAAACCTACAAATTCCTGATTGGGCATAGAAATACACACCAAGTTTACAAATGGCTATGGAGTTGTTTTTGTCAGCCGAAACACAAGGGTTTCTTTTGGCTACTCCTAAAAGACAGGCTTAGTACAAGAAACATTTTAGAAGAAATCACATGCATCTAGAATCATATAACTGTGTGCTTTGTCAACTTTCAGTAAAAGAAACATGTGAGCACCTCTTTATTGAGTGTCCTTCTGTCAAGGACTGCTGGAACCTGCTCGGCGTCACCTTACAGAATGGGATTAACATCAATGATTGCATCCTGCAGCTTAAAGAACAATCTCATCCAAAATTCTTTATGATGGTGGCAATCTTAATGTGTTGGGCAATCTGGACAGTTAGAAACGACCTCATCTGCAAGAATTTGCAGCCAGAAATACAAGCAGCAAAAGAATTTTTCAGAAAGGAGTTGAAACTGCTAAACCCCAGGGCTAAAGCCAGAGTCTCTCTTATCTTTGATTTATGGATCCAGAATCTACTGTAACCTTTTTGCTTTCGCTTGTTTTTTTCATTTCCTTCTTTGTCTCTTAATTTTCCTGTACTGTACCCTGAACTTTTCTTTATTTGGTAATAAATCTCTGTAGGGGTGCAAACCCCTCCAGTTTCTTCAAAAAAAAAATCGAATTCCTGAACCTATCAATCATTCCTCGCTACTTCCAATTGCTTCTTCTGTTATCTTGCTTATTCCTTCTTCTACCCTTAGTTTGTGCTAACAGCGGACAGCAAAATTGTTGAAATGTGGCTGTAGTACTTTAGCAGTGTCTCGCTGAGTACATTTTGGTTAGTAGTACGGGGAAAGTATATCATACCCGGGGCATTTCAATTCCTCCCCACACCCAAATTTTTGGATGTAGAGCTCATCTAAAATACTCAAATTTCAAAACATATTAAATCTGGGTGTAGTGTAGAACTCTCCTAAGATACCTGAATTTATTTGTAGTTACAATCAGTTTATAGCATGATTCAGCGATAGTATGACTGACGAATGAGGATGGTGTGTGTGATGCGCGGAGTGCAAACGTTTCACGGATGCATCCAGAGAAGAATTTAGTTGTAGATCTTTCAGCTCCATCAGTTTTAAAGGTGCTACGTTTGTGACAAATTAATTAACTCATTTATTAAGCAGAGATTACGGAAATGCTGTGGCGTGCGGGCGTTCATCCGTCTAAACACCGCGCTTCCGAAGCCTGAGCGCTACCGGTCCAACAGGCGTCCAACAGGCCTGCTCCCTTCTACCTTCCGTCACGGCTTCTCAAAAAAAAAAAAAAAAGACAGCGACATTTTCCAACTCGCACACCCGTCGCGGCATTCCCCACCGCTCGCCTGCCGCTCGTCTTCTCCAGCACGATTATCGCTCGCCACTGCCTTTTCCAGCGCAGCGCAGGGGCGCCTCCCCGGGCACAGCACCCGCCCGCCGCGACCTTCTCCAGCGCGAGGACGCCTCGCCACATGAGGCCACACACTGCGGCTGCCGCTCGCCGGGGCCGCGCAACCTCTTGCCCAGTGCCATCCTCTTCTTCAACGCGGCCTAGTGCTGGATCTCGCTCTGCAGTGCTCTGCCCGTCTGCCAGGTTTTGCTAAAGCGCATATTGCAAGCATGTGTTTCAAGTGTTTTAGAGGTATGTTGCAATTATTTTCTATGGATGTTGCAAAAGTATATCGGAATGTTGCAAAAGTAGATCGGGATATTGCAATGGTTATACGTCTGTTGCAAACTTCTATTCCTAATGTTTCATCTGTTTTTTCAGACATATGTTGCAAGTGTGTTTATCTGGATGTTGCATATGTTTTACACATATATTACAAGTGTTTTATTTGGATGTTGCATATGTTCTACAATGGTTTTCAAATGTTTTTAAGTGTTTTGTAAGTGTTTCAAAGCACGTTTTAAGTGTTTTATCCATCTTCAGACGTATGTTGCAACTATTGCATCTAGATATTTTAAAAGTAGATAAGACGTTGCATATGTTGCAATGTGACCCACCCTGTTGCTGTTGCTGCAGGGGCGCTACCGTGGGTCACCGTGCGAGCGCCTGAGGCCATCAGACGCCTCCGCGGCGCGCATCCGCAGGCAGGCGGAGTGAGGCCGGCGCGCTCATGTCTGTTACGACGCTGCTGCGGGGTTATGAGCGTGCTTCTGTTACGGAGAACAGACGGGGGGCGCTTCTATTACGCGTGGATAGGACGGGGCGTGGTGGATGCAATTGAACAGGAGCAGCGTTCGGACGTCTCCAGTGGCCGGACGTACAGGCGCTAGCCCTTTTAAATAGATTAACAGGCAAGTTCACGGCTAACTAGAACAATCCGATTCAAGAAGCCTAGGACGAATCGAGACAGATCGAGAGAGAGCAGCCGTGATAACCATCAAAAGTTCACCAGGAGGCAAGAGACAACGACCGACTTCTATACAAGTAAAGATTTCCGTAGAAAAAAGAACTGCTGACACCAAAAGACGTTCTTCAGTCTTCGCATATCAGTAGCTGAGTCATGGTAATCCGCCGAACGAGACAATATGTTAATTGCCGCTGTGCAATTTTGATTATCAACTTGCCATAGAATCTTGACCAACATACACACCAGGGCCAGGTCAAACTTGGTGAGCTGATTGTACACCACAGTAGCTGAAGAAATTGTAACGCGGTGGCCCAACGAACAGCGGGGCCATATGTAGCAGGAACCATCCTGCAGGTTTAGTGGAACGTCTAGAAGCAGCGCGGTGATACCGTCGGAGTGTTCGGCTGCCGTTACAAGCTGGTTTATAAGCCGGCTTATAAGCTATGGTACGATATTTTTTTTCTCCCAATAAATTAGTCGTACAAATCAGTACAAGCGGCTTTACGAGCAGCCGAACAGAGCCACGTGACACATTTTCAGTGCGCAGGCCTGGCACGCGAAGGAACACGGCAAGAGTTCACGTCTGTTGCTCCTTCAGCCAAAATAAAAGAAAAACTTTTAAGTTTTGTCTTAAATCAAACTATCTTAAATTTAATCATATCTATAGAGAAATTTGTTAATATTTATGACACTAAATAAGTATATTATAAAAATATGCGATAAATTCATTGATACTTATTTGGTAATAAATATTAGTATTTTAGTGTATAATTTGGTCAAACTTTAGATAGTTTGATTTAGGACAAAACTAAAACGTCTTGTTATTGAACTTTAAACTTTTGGAACAGAGGGAGATATACATCTTTATTTTCCTTTCTGCTGCTCCAGTTGACTATACCTGTCGCAGTCGCAGTACATCGTCGATGTTGTTGAACTTTAAAATCGGCTATTATATATAGTAGATGAACTATCCCTAAACTGAATTAGTGAAGGGCAATGCTCCTACTATTTCTGTAGATGTATATGATCGCCATTCGCCACCGAGCATCCAGGATACATGCCTACGGTCATGTACATCTCGCTAAAAGCGGCAATGGCGGTTACATGTATAGCACAAGAAAACACAGCTGACAAGAGGTGTTTTTTAACCCAGGCATGTTTACATCCGCTCGCATAAGTGCTACTATGACTCCTGTGACAAGTACAAGTAGGCTACGTACCCGTTCGCTCCAATGTGCATCTTAGAGTACAGCCATGAAACAGGGAAAAAGTTAAAGTTATTAACATTGTAACTTTGAGAAGTTACACATATCCACCACACCACCCGGTAACAAAGTAATAAAGAGAACTAGAACTGTCCTGCTGTCAATTTTATGCCACAACAAGTCAACAACCAGACTATCCTGATGTCAATTTTATGCCACGACAACCATATCATCACGAAGACATCGGTACCATGACTGTTGTAATGGTTGAAGCATTTGCTGACTGAAATGGGGAGTAGAGGAATGGCTTCGGTGGCATCTCGAACTCGCTGGCGCTCTTCTCCAACATCTCTATAACTCTGCTCATGGAAGGGCGGCCATCAGGTGCCATTTGTATGCAAAATAAACCAACCGAGGTCAGTTTTCTTGCAACCTCTTCAGTTCCATCTTCAACTTGGCAACCCTGCTTGTCCCCCGCGAGATGATCGTAAAGCAAATGTGGAAAAAATGCTTCACTTGAGTTGTCTGCAGATCCTTTCATGTTGGTTTTCCCCCGGATCATTTCCAGGAGCATCATTCCGTAGCTATAAACATCTGATTTTGTTGAGACAGCCCCAAAAGCTCTAGAGAACACTTCTGGTGCAATGAAACCAACAGTCCCTCTTGCTTCTGCCGTCGAAAGGATGCTTCCATTGAGGCGGCATAGCTTTGCCAGACCGAAATCTGAAATCTTCGGACAGAACTCATTATCCAGAAGGATGTTGTGAGGTTTGATGTCGAAATGGATTATGCGAGTGTTGCACCCTTGGTGTAAATACTCCAATCCTCGTGCAATGCCAATGGCGATTTTGAGCAGCATTTCCCATCCAATCATCAGCTCTGAATAAATATGCTTCTCCAAAGAACCATTGGGCATGTACTCGTAGACAAGCGCCCGCTTTGATCCTTCTAAACAATACCCAAGCAGGTTAACAATGTTTATATGAGATGTCTGACTGATGCTCATAACTTCGTTTACAAAATCCTCTCCATTGCCTTTGGAACTTTTTAAGAGCTTCACAGCAACGATCCGGCCATCTCGAAGGCTTCCCTTGAATACCACTCCATAACCTCCTTCTCCCAGCTTTTCCTTGAAAGATTTGGTTATTTTCTTAAGCTCCGAGTACTTGTACCTTTGTGGAGCAAGAGAACCACACCTTTTTATCACTTCTTCTTCATTTGATTGGTCGGCAGAGTAGGCTCGCCAGAAACCTGATCTGAATTTTTGCTTCCGACGGTAAATCAGCCAAGCTAGACAAATGAAAACCAAGGTAGCAGCCGCGATAGACATCGACACTGAAAATATACATTTTTTAGGGAAAAAAAAAGATTCAGCAAAAAACAGAGCAACTGAGCATGAAGCCACTAGATCATATACATTTGATTATAGATTATAAACTTCGTATGTTGCAGCAATATACTTACCAATCAGAGCTAACTTGCGCGTGCGCTTTCCATCTGTATGAAAAACTCAGTGAAAAGTCATGCTGAGAATACAAGATTGTGAATCAACTCTGCACTTCTGCAATATGCTCTTTAGAACTTTGTGAGTGTTTAATTCTTAGCTCACCGCATGTCGACGAACGCAAGATCCCGTCCGAGCAAAGGCACGCGAACGCCGCCGTGCTGGCATCGTACCGGCACCGGCCGCCGCTCGCTCTGCAGGCGTTGCAGTCACCGACACGTTCCCACTCCAGCCGGAAGCCGCCCCTTATGAGCCGTCGGTAGCTGGCAGACGTCGCGCCATCCGCCTCCGACCCGAGCACGGGGAACACCGCGAGCTCGCAGCGCCCGTCGTTCGCCGGCGGCCTGCCCGTGCCGTAACCTCCCCCGAGGTAAGCGAACGTGAGGCTGCTGTTGCCGCTGCAGTTGGTCACGGGGACGGCACCGAGCGGCGGCAGCGTCCCGCTGCACCTGGACATGATGTAGAGCTCCCGGTTGCTGGCGCTGATCGTGAACCTGTCCGTGATGGCGAAGGCAGAGGACACGTTGAAGATGACGGTGCAGGCGGCGTCGGCTGCCATGAGGACGTGCACGGCCACGAGGGACCGGCTGCCGTAGTCGATGGCGAGGACCCTCATGTACGAGGTGGCCAGGAACGCGCCGCCGGACGCGGAGGTGTTGCACGTGAGCTGGAACGCCGTCGGGCCGCAGGAGGACTCGCCCCGGCGGGCCAGGGTGAACGGGTAGGTGATGGTCAGGTTGCCGCATGTCGCCGTCGGGCAATCGGAGTCTGTGGTGGTGGCATCGACGGCGGTTGCCAGCTGCTGCAAGGAGGTTATTAGGATTGCCAACATGAGCAACCTGGGAGGGCTGCATCGCTGTGGCTTGGAAGTTCTTGGGGAGCGGAAGCTTTCCATCAAAATCTGAGAATGAGACGACAAGAGTTCAACGCAGCATGGTTGGAGCTTGGAAGCTAAGGTTGGCAAATTTGATGGCTGCGTTCAAAAAAAAATGATGCAGTTGGCAAATTTGATGACTGCGTCCAAAAAAAAATTGATGACTGCTCACCGCACGCATACACATATAAATAGCAGGGTTGGACTAGTAAATGACAAAAAAAAGGTCGTCGTCTTACGTGGTAGGAGACCGAAGAATTGGTCAGGACCGGAGCATTGTAAAATTTGTGACAAGTTTGAGTCCAGTCATCATATTCTCTACCAGCTTAATACAGTAATTGTGATGGCTCCTCTCCTTGATCTCCTCTCCCATGGAGCTTCCTGGGCTTGATCTCAGGCCTGGGAAATCGGTTGAGGCTGAGATTGGTCGTCGTTTCAACCTGCCCATCAGTTTTGATCACGCTCTCTCTTCCAAGGAGTTCTTTCTGGTCATCTCAGTTGGTCAATGTAATATCGTCCCTCAGCCGATTCAGTGGCCCTTATTATTCTAAGCAGTGTTAGGTAGTACTCCTGCAGCCTTTCGGGTTACCGCTATTGGCGATCGTGTTTTCAGATTTTCAGTCTATTTTCAGAGGATGTTGGTTTTCATATTTACAAGTTAGGCTCTTATGAGTGTGTGGCCTTCAAAGGGTTTTTTTTTTCGGGCGAAGACGGTGGAGGACATGTGGGAAGAGGAAGATATTTTTAGCTGCGGAAGGGGACGTGTGGTTGAGGTTTATCGGGTGACGTGGACGCATGTGGGAATTCTAGGCGACGTGGCCTGGTTCCCATGCCGCGAGCAACCTTGCGTTTGTAGAGGAGAAAATATAGTACGCAAATCATCGTACAATTAATTGCTTGACAAGTTGCAACATTAGAGAGTCAACCATGACTAGTTGCAACAAGTAACAACACGGTCAAAATGTTGTTTTCCAGCCTGGACCGATGAGAAGGCATCCATCCACTACACAAAATGTATAATCTATCGCTGTTTGCAAGATATGCGAGAAGTCGTAAACAAAACTGAAGGCACGTTATTCAACTTGTACCCAACAGAGACAGATCGCTCATCCATGTGGCCCGTGGCTAAGTCAATGGTTCGTTCAGTACTCTCGATCTCAACACCTACCGGAGAACCGGCCTTCCATCACCGGCCTCATTTTTATATTTTTTATATAGGAGGATATATTGCGTCAGCAAATGAGAAATAGTCATCCACTAGATGCCAAAAGGGGGGTTTGAAATCTTATGGCAGAATGCAGAGAATCAATTTGCGTTCAGGCTGTGGGGAAAGAAGTCAGATTGGAAAATTCCTGAGGAGAAGTCACAAGGTCACAAGGACAATCGTTATCAGACGCGCGTGCAAATCCTACAAAGCTGGAGTGGGAAAATCGCTCACATCAACGTTACCATACGTGCTCATTCACATCTAGGGTCCTGGATCGGTGATGTGAATTGACGATGCCAGGATCAGGGTTGGTGGCGTCAATTTTGCATCCATGCAGCTGTCAGCGCTGAGACCTGTGAGAAAACTCTACCATCCATTGCTGTGAGACCTGTGAGTAGGCCTAAACCAACACGGCCTATGGGCGTTGTCAAACAAACAAAAAAAAAGGAACTATGGTTGGTGGGAACGTGAGACAGCACTGTTAAATTCTTTATGTACCTTTCTGTAACTGTAGATCCGGGGTAAGCCTCCTCGCCCTTGTGTAGTTTCGCCGCAGCAGTGTAGACGCCAGTACCATGGCGTTGTAGGCGTCGTGGTGCGATGCAGGCGAGGTCCAGTGACGACGGTGGTGACCCTGCAGGGGCGACGGCGGAGTCGGTGGACTTCTCGTCGCTGGCAGCACTCCTTTGATCGGATTAGGTTTACTGTGGTGGATCACAGCGGCTCAGACCAACCTCGTAGTTAGAGCCGTGATCCCCACCTCTCTTTTATACGTGCTGTGCGACAGGGGCCCATCAACCGTATTAGGGTTGGGCGCCCCCGATCAGGGCGCAGAGACAAGGGCCCAACAGTTGGCCCTATTGGTATAGATCAACTAACATTCTTCCCCTTGATCTCATTATTATCTTTCAATTTCATATCATTTACTTTTGTTCATTCCATTACAGATTAGCCCATAGAGCATGTCTCATCGTCACGATCCATTGCCGATAGATTTAACAGCTACAACACACTACTCTGTTCTGGAATAGATACTTATCTTTGGGTCTTCTTTTGTCCAGGAATTTTAGGCTTTTCCTTAAACCCATGCTAGCTACATGTTCTCTGAATACCATGTTCTCTGAACACATTGGGTGGTAAGCCTTTTGTAAGCAGATCCGCAAGCATCTTTTCTATACTTATATGCTTAAGACTTTATGACATGATTCCAGACTTTATCTTTCACAGCAATATACTTTATGTCAATGTGTTTGGCAGCATCACTTGACTTATTGTTGTGAGCATAATGTACTGCCTGATTATTATCGCATTATAACTTAAGTTGTCTATAGATGTCGTCAACCACCTTCAAACCGGGTATGAACTTCTTTAGCCAGTTCACCTGCCCCGTTGCCTCATAACACGCTACAAACTCGGCATACATTGTGGACGATGTAGTGACGGTTTGCTTTGAGCTTTTCCATGAAATAGCTCCTCCTGCGAGAGTGAATACATATCCAGACGTGGATTTTCTATCATCTTCCGCATAATTAGAATCTGAATATCCCACTATATGAAGTGAATCAGATCTTCTATACGTCATCATGAGGCCTTTAGTTCCTTGCAAATAACGCAAGACTTTCTTTACTAATTTCCAATGCTCTGTTTAGGATTGCTCTGGAATCTGCCAAGTAACCCAGTAACAAATGTCAAGTCAGCGCGCGTACATACTTGAACATATTGCAAGCTTCCGACAACTGAAGCATATGGAACCACTTTTATTTCATCAATCTCGTATTGGTTCCTAGGGCATTTAAAATCCCCATATCTGTCGCCCTTGACTATAGGAGCAGGTGAGGGACTATATTTGTGCATACATAATTTCTTTAAGATCTTTTCTATGTATGCCTTTTGTGACAGTCCTTATACCCCTTTACTTCTATCTCGGTGACTCTCGATCCCTAGAACGAACGAAGGTTCACCAAGATCTTTCATATCAAATTTTGAGGACAAAAACTTCTTTGTCTCCAGCAGTAAACTGACATCACTACTAGCAAGTAAGATATCATCCACATACAGGACAGGAAAGATAAACTTTCCATTCTTAAACTTTGCATAGACATAATTGTCCTCAACATTTTCTTTAAAACCCAAAATTCCTTATTGTCTGATCAAACTTCAAGTACCACTGTCTTGAAGCTTGTTTTAATCCATAAATGGATTTCTTTAGGCGGCATCCCATTCGTTCTTTTCCTTCCATGACAAAACCCTTCGGTTGTGCCATGTAAATATTTTTCTCCAAGTCTCCGTTGAGAAATGTCGTCTTTACATCCATCTGATGTAATTCTAAATCGTAATGTGCCACTAATGCCATTATGATTCTGAAGGAATCCTTACATGAGACTGGAGAAAAGGCTCATTGTAATCAATCTCTTCTCTTTGCGTAAAGTCTTTTGCCACAAGTTGCACTTTATATCTCTCTATATTTTCTTGGGAGTCAAGTTTTGTTTTGTAGACCCATTTACAGCCTACTATTTTCGCTTCTTTAGGAATTATCTTTAAGTCCCAAACTTTATTGGCATTCATAGATTTCATTTCATCTTCCATGGCCTCAAGCCACTTTGATGAATGATCATTTTTCATGGCTTATTCAAATGAGGTGGGATCATCCTCCATTTGAAATTCCTCAGTGTTGTATACTTCATTGTCAGCAAAAATAGCTGATTTTCTAACTCTTTGAGACCTTTTAGGGACCTCCATATTTGGCACATCTTCTGTTTGAGGCTGTTGTTGCTCCCCCTCATGTGTGGCAATAGGTTCTATAGGATCCTGAAGAACAGGTTCCTTATGGTCATTCATTGTTGCCACAGGCGGAATAACAACAGGTGCTGACACCACAGTATCTTGCACTGTCGGCGCAGCGACAGCAGGTAGTGAGAAAATTGGCCCATGAATCATTGGAGTGGGCGCATCTCGAGCTACCATGCTCCCCCTCATCAATTCATCCTCTAGGAAGACAGCGTGTCTCGTTTCCACAAACTTTGTATGTCTCTCTAGACAGTAGAAACGAAAACATTTTGACTTTTCTGCGTAGCCAATGAAATGGCAACTTACTGTTTTGGGATCTAGCTTCCCAATGTTTGGGTTAAATCCTTTAGTCTCAGCAGGGCTCCCCCACACACGTAAGTGTTTAATGAGGGTACTCTTCCTGTTCACAACTCATACGGCGTTTTGGGCACCGACTTACTTGGTAAATATGAATGTCGGTTTTTAACGTCTCCATCCACAAGCTCATCTGTAAGGTGGAGTAACTTATCATACTGCGCACCATATCTATCAGGGTACGATTGCGTCTTTCAGCTATTCCATTCTGCTGAGGTTCGCCCAGTGTAGAATACTGGGCTACTTTGTCATTCTCCTGTAAGAACCTTGCAAAAGGTCCAGGAATTTGGCCATATGAGGTATGCTGACTATAGTACTCCCCCACGGTCGGACCTGACTATCTTAATCTTTAAATTGAGTTGGATTTTAGCTTTTGCCTTAAATATCTATATTTATCCAATGCTTCTATTCTTTCTTTGATTGGATAAATATAGATATAACGGGAGTAATCATCTGTGAATGTTATGAACGAATCATTACCATCCACACTCTTTATAGGAAACTAACCACAGATGTCTGTGTGAATGATCTGTAAAATTCTTGCGTTTCGTTTGACATCTTTCTTAATTTTCTTTACATACTTTTTTTATGCATTCTCTACATTGTTCTAAATCTGAGAGCTCCAATGGAGGAAGAATATTATTCTTAACTAGTCTTTCTATTCCCCCCCTCGAAATATGGCCTAAACGATAGTGTCATAATTTCGACAACGCATCATGAGCTCTCTTATGACAACATTTCCAGAGTAACTCTCTGTCACCAGCTGCTTTATCAGCTAGGTAGCATATGTCTTTGAAGAGCCAGAGAACTAACTCTTTATTCTATCGAGGTACTCGGTGACCGTGTCATACTCTGGGATTGAGCCCATAATTGCAGACCCAATCATGTTCTTTATCACAGCCAAACATTTCTTGTTGGCAGTGACCCACTTCCAATGCTCAAGGGCATAGGACATCTTTCGGGATTCAAAATCCCTCTCTTTAGTTGTCCAAGCGGCATCAGCCTCGTTTGTCTCCCTCACCAGT